CAATATTAAAAATAAGTTGAGTCTTTTTTACTTTCTGTTCTAAAATTATATTCTTCGAAGATTGGCATGCCCCCGGTATACGTGATCCTTAATTACAAAACAGAATTACCTATAATGAAATCATTAATTTAAATTGTGTCTGTATTTCTACACATGTAAGTTGGGTTCAATTTATTGTTATATTGATGACTATCTGGACTCATGTTAACCTTTTACACTTTGTAATCATTGTTTTAAAAATAAAAATAGCTTCATACTGGAACTGGGGTTGCCACCCGTCCTCCATTTGGGAGGTCAGTCCTCCATTGATGTCAATTGCCCTCTCATCCTTCTTTGTATTTTAAATGACCTCCTTTTAGTAACTTTTTAACATTTTATTGTCATTTATTTTATCATATGACTTAACATCTGCTACGTTGTATCGGTTATTGTGTAGCCTTTCAGCTATAGCACGGGCGGTATACATGCTGCCTTTGAAAAGAAAACGGCGATGCGCCTTGATGTTTGAATTTAGCGTAGATGGAAGTCAGGCATTCTCTAGTTATCAATTGAGGTACAAGATTGCGGTATTTACTAGGCTGTCCGGGCGACGACGCGTCCATGGCGAAGGTGCCGACGTTTCGGTCGCCATTCTGCGACCTTCCTCAGGACGTCGGCACCTTCGCCATGGACGCGGCGTCACCCGGACGGCCTAGTAAATACTGACTACGGCCGCGGAAGCCTACGCTCTCAAGATTGCGGTAATATCTCCTAATTGACCACATATCATCGGCAGTATTCTCAATATTGGTATTTTTTTTTGAATGCAATTTTTCTTCAATATTTTGTGCAGGTTATTTCATGTACTAGTTTTTAGAAAACATTGACAATTTATGACTAAATGTCAATTAAATTGTGAATATGTGCTGTTTCCAATAGTTGTCTCCAAGATCCAATCACATTTGCACCAAATATGCTCAAAAATGACAGGTGTCATCAGTCTTTGCTCTATGCGGCATAAAAACCGCCACGCGATCGCGACTGTTTCAGTTTTTTCACGAGTGTGATGAATATGCTAGAATATTTTCTATACATTTTTGTAATAAAAATGAGTCCTCTTATGTTAATTATTGTGTAAATTAAATGAATTAGTCATTCATGCCACGCAATTTGTAGGTGATTTTACGGTATTTTACTACTCTAGATTCATAATACTTACTATTCTCGTTTTATTACAACATATTTAACTAACTACACATTCTCTTTTCCCTTCTTGACCATGTTCATCATAGTTACTATATTTTAGCGTCCTACTTCATTAAATTTTTATTATGCTATTATTAAATTGTATGTTTATGCCATCAGTGTTTTGTGATTCCAAAGTAGAAGACTGATTTTGCAGACTATCTCCAGAAATTTATTTTCTGAAGAATAATTAACATTGTTTCAATACATTATTAATATACTCCAATGCTCAGTTGATGTTATTTAATAAATTTTCCATGATTACCTATCAAAAGAAGCTGTAATATTGAGAAAAGGAATGGATGCTCGTCGGCGAAAACACCGCCTCGCGATCGCGCATGCGACTTTAAATGTCGCGAGCGCCTGAAGGTTAGTTTAGAAAACATTAATATCCTTTTTCTGAACAATGGCACACTCATGCATCATAGTGTCTGGCGACTGAAATAAAATATTACTCCATATATACGTGCGTATACGAGAAAGTAACTAGTGGTGCTACAGAATGGCTGACTTTCCCGTTTTAATTTTCTATTTCCTTTGATCTCGGCTATCTATTTGGTCTTGCCACACACCATTGCCAGCTGGTATCTATCGTCGCCCAAAGTAAATTCTAAAAAAATTTTTTTTTGTCATTTCGAGATATTTTCTTGTTTACATTTGTGTAATTTTTTTGAAAGATCTCTCACGTCATTAATGTGCAAATTTCCAACAATTTTTAAACACTATTGTATTTTTGATTTAATGTGCTTCAAATGACTTCAATGTTTTTGAAAAGTCAATATTTTCTGTTATAAGAAGTTTAAATGCTACTCTAAATTCGAAATTTGATCGCCATGTTCTTAAAAACAGCTCCAAATTTTTCGAAGTAAATAGCCATTTAGAACGAAGATTTAAGGTTATTTAATATTCTACAATTAGTATCTCCGTTCTATAGTTAAAAAACAAAAAAAGAACTTTTTCCAAAAAATGCAGTTTGGGTGGCGATAGATGGCAGCGGACGGAAGAGTCTGTAGCGTTCCAAATAGGTAGACCAAACCGAAGGAAATAGAAAACTAATACGAGAAAGTCTGTGGCATTTGTAGAACCGCTAGTTAATTATTAAAAATGAGTGAATGGCTTATTGGCTTAAACTGTCTGAGCCAACTTCATGCATGCATTCATCATTCATTTACAAGAGTACAGAGTGATGGCACTAATAGAGCATCATTCAGAGCCATACGTCGTACGAATAAGGAACGTCTCCTCCGTGGGTTAGGCAGCTTTGGTACTGAACCACTTAAATATTTCTTGAATTAGACTACATTAGCCAGGATTATTAGATAAGATGGATTAGAAATGCTTAAGGTATCCTACGTTTTTTGGCAGTATCTATGCCAATGCTAGAACGACCAGCGAACTCGAACCCAGTATAACGCCCAGAGGAATCGTTCGACGCAGAGACATCAAGTCAACTTTTAAGGCTCTCACAGTCCGGCGCGGGAGATCCGCAGGGGATGCGGCGCGGAAAGTTCCGCGCTAGGCGCGGCGGCGGAATCCGCGGAACCGTTCACACCGGAGCGTCAATTATGACTCAGCGTTTGGTGAGTTTTCGTCATCCGCTAAACAAAAGCAAGGGGGGCGAAGTCTCCCAAACTCAGGGGGGGAGGGCTTCCACGAAACTCGAGCGGCAGCGGTCAAAACGCGTCCGACTGCGTCACAAAATCCGCCGCGGATTAAACGCTGCCAATCCGCTGCTTCGACGCTCGCCTGCCGTGCAGGTCTGAACGTGCTCATAAAGTAACACGTGACGCGAAATTTCCACTGCGGCCAGTCCTCGTAGGCTGCGGGTCTTCCGCGCCGGTCTGTGGGAACCTTTAAGAAAAGATAGTGCAACAGTGTTAATCTACGGTACCAGGATAATTTTAAAAATAATAACTTATTGTATAATAGAGTTAATATGTTACATCTTTAATATGCAACTATTTTAGATATTTCTTGCCATTATATTCTGCGGGGTGCAGCTGAAAGGATTTTGACTGGAATGTCTAATCAAGAAGATAAAATAAACATTTGAACGTGGAGTTACATCAGTAATTAATTTCAAGCTCAGATGAAATCTCAATAAAGAAGCAAAACACAGTCACTTTACAGGCAAGTTGTTTACTTTTTGGATATACCTACCTCAATAATTAACCCACTCTATGCAACAATTCCTTTCATTACTGTGCTATTTTCCCAACTTCACAAAAGTCGTTACTTAAATATTATTTTATGATTCCCGTTACTTATTTTCGAACCCCCTTTTTTTCAATGCATGGCTGAACAACAAAGTGAGGTTAGCAAGATTTGAAAAACTAATGGTGCTACATGAGCACATACTTTCTCACGTTTTTTAAATCGGATATTTTCAAAAATTCAAAGTTTAACGAAAATAAGTCCTGCGCAACTCTTAAGCGTTCCTTGTTCTATCTATGGAAAAAAATCGGAGCGGTATTTGAGAAAATATTTTTTATAAATTCTATTAGTTTAAAAAACAAACACGAGAAATACTAGTTTTTCCAAAAATGTCTGCTTACAATGAATGAAATTTTAAAAAACACATTTTCTCAAAAGCCACTCCAGATTTTTTTAACATTTTCGCTGAGATGAAACAATAATGATGAATGAAGGTTTAAACAAGCATAAAAATTGACGCTGAAAAGAATGGCACAGGTTTAAATTTCGTTTACCGCTCTGAATTTTCGATAATTGCAAATTTATAATGTGAGAAAGTATGTGCTGTGCACCACTCATGCTGCAGCGTTGTTTTCATTAATGACTCAAATGCGGTCTTCTCGTACATACAATGTCCCCCAATCCCACTGAGCATTTCACCTCTCGCCAAAAAAACATGTTCTGCGCAACACAGTCCAAGAAAAATCAGTATAAATTATTTAGTTTGGAAGGAACAATTTAGTGCCGGTTTTAGAATTGCGTTAAATAGAAGGGAAGATGCATGAAAATGAAGGTAGATAAGCAATCAAATATCCTCAACCATTTTAGTTCATTCTAAACATATTTTTAATATACTGACTTCAACAACAACACACTATCAAACAAGAAACAACATTATTTTGTAGTCTCTACAGAGCTGTTGGATTTAACATTGCATAAATTTTCAACCATTTCATTAACAACAATTCTTTAAAATCTAATGTCCTGTACAAAACTACATTTCTTTCTATTGATCAAGGGGTAATCTCCAGTCTTCAGATGCTTTGCTGCCACGTTGTTCATCCTGACACAGATTTGTGAAACGTAATACTGGTGCACATGGAATGCTAAAAATCAACCAAAACACAAAGAAATTGAGCACTTAAAAAGTCCTATCATTATCATTATCATTATGGGAAGACTTTAAAACATTGATCATAATTTTCTTGACAAAATAATACGCAAGTAATAATAATTTTATAATTTCAAAATATTTTAATTGTAAATATGTTCGCAATTGAGAAGATTTTCATATCAAAAAGAGATCGTACTCAACATCAAATAATCATTTACAGAATGTTGTTTTAACCCCCAAATCTGTACATTAATACAAGTTTTGCATTGAGCCGTTATGTGTACTCTAATATAGATTTGGCTACAACTAGTAGTAATAACATTGTACATTTAATAGTCGTTATAACATGTTTCACATATTTTGGTCACGAATAAAGAATCACATAGTTAATATTATAAATCGCAAAAGTACAGAAAAACTTTACAACAAATAACAACTTTCATGGTGTTCTTGTTCATCTAGAAAATATTTAACACTCATTACAACACTGAAATAAATAATCTAACTAACAAATTAAGTACTTTAATGTCCATCAAGATTTTTTGTATCTTGAAGCACCACATTGGTTTTCTAAGTTGAAGATTTTCACAGAGCACACCTTACTGTTCGTAACTGGCTGCAACAGAAAGAAGTAATGACATATTTTTTAACAATGAAATTTAAGAGACTGAAATTTTTTTTACAAATAAAGCAATATAGAATGGATACTCCACTACCAATTCCATGAAATAAGGTTGACTCAGATACGTTACGTATAGTGTGGAGTAAGGGAGCTGGAGGTTGGAAAGTTTGGGCAAGAGCCTGGACGTGGGCATAAGAGTCGAAGCGAACAAATTATTTAGCGTTTCTGAGGGTTCAACTGCTAAGAACGTTAGTCCCGTAAGTGTAGTGATGCTCGTATGGCGGGAGACGATGCTGAACTTCCCCCGCTGAATGGCGAAATGCGACGCTTGAGGAGTTGCCGCGACTACCGGGGGTACCGCCTCAGCCAAAACAAGCTCCAAGTTCCGGTCGTGTGTGGTAGTATTGTGCGTGGGTGGAGTGTAAGGATAGTAGTGTCCAAGGGTGTACGAGCAAGGGGGGTAAGGATAGGACAAAGAACGGGAAGGAAAGATCGTTCACGGTCCGTTTGTTTAGGGTACTGCTCCGGAATTCGCATGGTGCTGATCGGAGAAACCACGGAGAACTAATAATCAGAGCATCCTTCCGCTAGCACTCTCCTTCAGACTGCGACCGACTTCGATCTGGCAAGTATCGAAAATCCTGCTACCGTCGGAACTAGCGGTCGAGTCTGATCGGTCAAGATCTCCCGATCAGAGACGCTGCAGCGACATCACTTGATGCCCTGAGCCGTCTCAGCCAGTGGGCAAAGCGGACGGGTGGCTGGGAAAATTAGGCACAAGCGTAAAGGAACAGGGTGGCGCCAGGTGAAGCGGAGTGCAATATAATGCAGTCTGTTACGGGTGGTTATGCAAGGAGGCCCTCGTGTTATGGTATCTGGATTAAGTATTTTTATTGTATTTATTTGGCATTTCGTATCGTATTAATCCACTTTTTGCCAGAACATCGTGTGGATGTGGAGATCATACGCAAGCGTGGGTAGAAGGGGAGCACAAATTGTGGGCGAGTAGCTTTGTTTGGCGGAACCTTTCTGCTGCGCCTGTGGCAGCTACGTGTTGGGCAGAGTGGCGTGGTAAGTGAGCGTGGCGAGGATATGCACGAAGCGTGGAAGGAGCATGTGAAGAAAGAGTGCATGTCAACTCGCTGACTAGTAGCGTGTTTTGAAGTACCTTTGTGCCGCGCCAATGGCAATATCGTATTGCGCAGAGCGGCGTGGAAAGTGACGTGGAGATCATATGGACGAAGCGTGGCAACGAGCGTAGGTAGGAGTGCACGTCAACTCGTGGAGGAGTAGCGTTGTTTGGCGTACTGTAGAACGTTACGTGTTGGGCAGTCTGGCGTGGAACTGGGCGTGCCGGCAAAATGCACGAATCGTGGGTAGAAGAAGCGAAGGTCAAATCGAAGGCGAGTAGCGTGGTTTGGAACATCTTTGTGTTACGCCAGCGCCAGGTACATCATTGGGCAGAGCATCGTGGAATGTGGTCGTGATGAGAAAACGCACGAAGCGTGGGTAGGAGTGCAAGTCAATTCTCAGGTAAGAAGTGAGGTTTGGCGTACCTTTGTGCTGCGCCAGCGCCAGCTACGAGTTCAGCTGAGCATCGTGGAAAGTGGGCGTGGCGAGGATACTCGTAAGAGTGGCAGGGGCATATGTAAAGCAAGTGCAGGCCAATTCGCAAAGATGTAGCGCGCTTTGGCGTACTTTTGCGCTGCGCCAGCGGCAGCTACGACTTGGGGAGCACGAAGCGTGGCAGAAACGTGTAAAAGGAGTACTAGTCAACTCTTAGAGGAGTAGCGTGCTTTGGCGTACCTTTGCGCTGCGCCAGCGGCAGCTACAATTTGGGGAGCTCGAAGTGTGGCAGGAACATGTGTAAAAGGAGTACAGGTCAACTCGCAGACGCGTAGCGTGCTTTGGCGTACCTTTGCGCTGCGCCAGCGGCAGCTACGAGTTGGGCAGAGCATCGAGGAA